GTCCAGGAGCCAGAGCCTGTTGCTGAGGCCGTTCCCGGGCCAGAGGCCGTGCCTGAGGCTGCTGAGGAACCTGCCCAGGAGGTGGAACTGGCCGAGCCACTCGTAGCTCAAGTACCAACCGCCACAGTGGATGCCGTCTTGCCCGCACACGAGGAAATCGAGGCCGAAGAGAGTATAGAGCCGGCCGAGGGGGCTGTGGATGAGCAGGTGGAGAATGTTGAGCCCAGGGAGAGTGCTTCAGTCGCGATCCTGGAGGAGGGAGAAAAGTTGGCGGTGCCAGAGATCGACAGTGGTCCACCGGATTCCATTTCTGCGACAGATCCCATGGTGGAGGACACACAGGGAGCATGTCCTGCCAGTGAAGACATTCACGAGCTTGTGGAAGAGGAGCAAACCAAAGTCGATGTGCCACAGCAAGTTTCCGAACGCGAGGTCGAGCTTCCCATTCCAGTAGAAGAACTCCCAGAGTCGGCGAAGGAAGCCGTCCAGGAGCCAGAGCCTGTTTCTGAGGCCGTTCCCGGGCCAGAGGCCGTGCCTGAGGCTGCTGAGGAACCTGCCCAGGAGGTGGAACTGGCCGAGCCACTCGTAGCTCAAGTACCAACCGCCACAGTGGATGCTGTCTTACCAGCACACAAGGAAATCGAGGCCGAAGAGAGCATAGAGCCGGCCGAGGTGGCTGTGGATGACCAGGTGGAGAATGTCGAGCCCAGGGAGAGTGCTTCAGTCGCGATCCTGGAGGAGGGAGAAAAGTTGGCGGTGCCAGAGATCGACAGTGGTGCACCGGATTCCATTTCTGCGACAGATCCCATGGTGGAGGACACACAGGGAGCATGTCATGCCAGTGAAGACATTCACGAGCTTGTGGAAGAGGAGCAAACCAAAGTCGATGTGCCACAGCAAGTTTCCGAACGCGAGGTCGAGCTTCCCATTCCAGTAGAAGAACTCCCAGAGTCGGCAAACGAAGCCGTCCAGGAGCCAGAGCCTGTTGCTGAGGCCGTTCCCGGGACAGAGGCCGTGCCTGAGGCTGCTGAGGAACCTGCCCAGGAGGTGGAACTGGCCGAGCCACTCGTAGCTCAAGTACCAACGGCCACAGTGGATGCCGTCTTACCCGCACACGAGGAAATCGAGGCCGAAGAGAGCATAGAGCCGGCCGAGGGGGCTGTGGATGACCAGGTGGAGAATGTCGAGCCCAGGGAGAGTGCTTCAGTCGCGGTCCTGGAGGAGGGAGAAAAGTTGGCGGTGCCAGAGATCGAGAGTGGTGCACCGGATTCCATGCATGCAACAGATCCCATGGTGGAGGACACACAGGGAGCATCTCCTGCCAGTGAAGACATTCACGAGGTCGTGGAAGAGGAGCAAACCAAAGTCGATGTGCCACAGCGAGTTTCCGAACGCGAGGTCGAGCTTCCCATTCCAGTAGAAGACTCCCAGAGTCGGCAAACGAAGTCGTCCAGGAGCCAGAGCCTGTTGCTGAGGCCGTTCCTGGGCCAGAGGCCGTGCCTGAGGCTGCTGAGGAAC